TGTAATGATTCTCAAAGATGATGCAAACAATTTTTTCTTCTGAAGTCATTTCTTTTTTTTCTCTCAAATTTTACCATTATTTAGGTGGAAAGCATAACTGATGCAAGATAGTAGTGGAACGACCTCTGACTTACAAGAAGAGCCGTATGATAGTTCGTTAGAGGAAACATCTCAAACTGAGTCATTTTTGACTACCTCAGATGACTTTTCTGAGGATTCTGATGAAGACATAAATGTAGATGAATCATTATCTACTACAATTATTAAAGAAATTGAAGATGGAACTTATACATGTTTAGTGTGCACAGGAGAAATAGATAGAGACTGCGAGGTCTGGTCATGTCAGGAGTGCTTTAGAGTTTATGATCTTGACTGCATTAAGGCTTGGGCCCTTAGAGGATCTTCGACGGATAAGACTAATAAGACATGGAGATGTCCATCATGCAATACTGCCATCAGCCAGATCCCAAAAAAGTTTAGCTGTTGGTGTGGAAAGGTAAATAACCCAGAAAAGGATTCAGTTATACCTTTCAGCTGTGGGAATCCATGTACATTCAAACATGAAGATTGTATTCATTCTTGCTCCTCTATTTGTCACCCAGGGAATCATCCTACATGCGGTGCAATGGGACCGATAATGAAGTGCCATTGTGGATTAGAAGAGAGACAGCTTCCTTGTTTAATAACGCCATACAGCGATGGTTGGAGGTGTGACAATGAATGTTCCGTTTCATTATGCGCATTTGGTCACAGATGTCCTAGAGCTTGTCATCTGGGTTTCTGTGGGCCCTGCCAAAAGCAGACTACGGCGAAGTGCTATTGTGGGAAGGAAGATTTATTATTAGAGTGTAACGAATTGCGTCCAGAAAAATGTCTTGATTGGATTGGTGTTGGTCAATGTTCGAATAAAAGTACCATATATTATGATTGCGGCTTACATTTTGAGACAGTACCATGCCAGCCCCAGAACAAGGACGTAAAAGAGTGCAGATATTCGCCTCTGAAGGTAACTACGTGTTACTGTGGAAACAATAAAGTCAGTCTAGAGCATAGAACTAAATGCACTGATCCAATCCCTGAATGTGATTCAGTATGTGGAAAGCCTTTAGAATGTGGATGTAAATGTTTGATGAAGTGTCATGCGGGTCCCTGTATCTGCTTTAATATTATAGAAACTCCATGCTCGTGTGAGAATTATTCATTTTTAGTCCCCTGTAAATTCTTGCAGTCTGGTATGAAGCCTAAATGTACTCATAAATGTTCCGTTTTACTCAACTGCCGAAAGCATTATCACAAAGAGGTCTGCTGCGCATTTGAAAAGCATGGGCTCAAAAGAGAGAGGTCGAAGAAGAAAGCCCTCAGAAACAATATAAGAGCCACATTTGACGATGAGCTTATGTCAATTGAACCAGTTCATATTTGTACTAGACCCTGCAATAGATTGAAGTCTTGCAAGATCCATTATTGCGAGGCACTATGTCACAGCGGGTCATGCGGAGTGTGTTTGGAATCTAGTAACGAAGACTTGGTGTGTCATTGTGGGAAAACAGTCATTGAAGCTCCTGTTAGATGTGGTACGAAGCTTGTGTGTCATGAACAATGTAATAGAGAAAAGGAATGTGGACATCGCACAGAAATACATGAATGTCACGATGACTCCGTTAGTTGCCCTAAATGTACAGCAACGGTAAAGAAACAATGTAACTGTGGGAAGAAATCAGATATACCTAATATATTATGCTCACAAACTAATGTATCTTGCGGTAATATTTGTAAGGAACAGAGGGATTGTGGTCATCTATGCTTAAGAGTTTGCTCATCCAAATGCACTAAAGATAACGACCATGCTACCTCTAAGACTTGTCAATCAATGTGCCACAAAAGAAGACTGAACTGTCCTCATTTCTGCAGTTTGAGATGCCATTCAAACAAGCAAGATATGCCCAAGAATTGTGATCAAGTTTCCTGTAAAGACCCTGTCAAGATAAGTTGCAATTGTGGCCACCTCACGAAAACGGTACCTTGCGGAGCTTCCATAAATGAAACATCGAAAATATGCACGGTATTATCTTGCACCGAGGAATGTGCAAAAGCTTTGCGTGAAGAGCAACTAAAGGAAGCATTCGACTCATCTGGTGAATCATCATCACAAACCAAATACCCCGACCTTGTGCTAACTACTTATGAGAGACAAACGAGATGGTGCTCAATTATTGAAAATGTAATGAGAAATTTCGTAAGCTCATATCTTACTCTGAATGGAAGCACCAAGAGTTCATATCACTTCAACTCAATGAGCAAACCTCAAAGAGCATTCGTTCATGAGCTAGCTGCTACCTACAAGTTGTATTCAGAATCTCAAGATAAAGAACCTCAAAGATCAGTATTCATTGTCATTACTCCTAGAACAAAATTGACTGAATTAACAATTAACGAAGCAATATCTATGAAGCGTAAAAATAACTTGTCGATCAATGTCGAAACCATAGACATACCCATAGATGATGAAAATTTTTTCAATGCCATTCTAATTGAAAATTTGTTCTTTGGCGTAGTTCGTGAAGAGATTGAGGATGAGTTACAGAAATTGACGGCTACCTATAAATTCAATGATTCTACTTTACAATGGATGCAAGAAGGGAAGTTCGTTTTGTACTCTCCAGGGAAATATAAGACCATCACAGTTGAAGAAGAAAACGAACTCTATTTAATGATGAAAGCCGCGAAGAGAGCTCTTAGAGATAAATCATTGGCTTTTGATTGTAAGCTTTGCATGGTGGATGATGATCTCAATTACATCTTAAAAACTGAAGGCACCAAAATTGATAAACAAAAGCTGCCTTCTTCTCGTGGTACTCCTGTCGAACCACAAAATTCTTTTCAAGTATTAGAAGTTGCTGGATTCGAATAATGCATTAATTAAATAGAATTGTCTATAAGAAATATCTAACTTTTTTTTTCAGAAACTTCTGTAGATATGGGCTCCTTGATATGCTCTTGGTTACTTTTTGAACGATGCCTTCTAGTTTTCTTCTTCGTGGCACCAGACGAAGCGTCTCTTTCCTCAGTTTTCTTCTTTTTCACACTCAAGGGATTAGGGGCCTTCGGTCCTTTCCTTTTCTTTGTCACAGGTTTACTTGTCAGCTCATCTTCTCCATTAAAAGCAATACCAGCATATTTGACGTCATTTAAGCCTTTTGTTAGTTTCTCACTTTCCACAGAATTCGAGAACTTAGAACTGACGTCAGACAACGGCTCCATAACCATGACAGACCTATTCATATATATCAATGGTACTCCAGGAATTGTCCTTAACTTTTTCCTAAGAGAAATATCTTGTGAGGCTATTATATACCTATGCTTATTCTCACCATTAACATTTGTAATCGATTCAATGCATTTACCGGGCGATAATGGAGCAGAGAGTGGATGATTACACCTCCGTCTCTCAAATTTTTTAGCCAAATCAATACCTGATTGATTTTTACTGTCATATAGAGCCTGAATGCAACATTGAGTGATCATAGGCTTCACTTCGCCTTGAACTGTTCTCTTCAATCCTTTTTCAAGGTCGAATGAAGCTTTTATACAAGTTAAAATTAATTCATCGTCGACGATAGTTTGGAAAGGCTCACGAAACTTGAATGAGTGAAGGTATACATTCATTTGTTTCTTGTAAGACTTTGCTCTCTTTTGTCTCATCTTAGCCTATATCTGAATCTATGGTATTGGAATCGTATCTCTATGGTGTAATGAAAAAAAGAAAAATTAAAAAAAAAAAAAAATTAATTACCAAGAGAGATGCGATGATATATCAATGTATTTAATAGCGAGATCTAAACATAATTAAATACCAAATGAAAATATTTGCCGATTTGTCTATAATCTATATCAGGTTATATTAGGCAACCCTGGTACCTTTGATAACTATGGGTATCATTCCACATGTTGGAATAGTGAATTTTCTATGATTAGTAACAGTAATAAAAGCTCTAATTGTCCCAGCATGTGAAGTGACAGACTTGAAATATTTGTTTGGATGACTTGAACTATCCTTCCAATCTTGCTCAAATATTCTTTGAAGAACCTTGTTCGTTCGTACAAATTGTTCACTCAATTCTTCTCTTCTATCTACAAATGTATCATGAAGCTCATCGTTTTCAGTAAAGCCTTCTTCAAACGCGAATTCAGGGAAAAGGCCGCGAATCTCAGTCTTTGAGGATCTTTTGTGAGCAATATGAAGGCCCATAACTTCTCTTAAGTTCTCCAAAACAGTTGGCGTTGGAATATCGATGTCATTCCAAGTATATACTAGGGTGTGAGCCGACCTTCTCAAGGGAGAAACATAAAATTTAGAGGGTAATGGTGCACCTAACTCTAACTGACGTTTCCAAGCAGTGTTGTTTTCCTTTGCTTGATCCACACCTAGTGGTGTAAGCTCTGGATCGGGTCCCCAAACTATTTCTCCGTCTGTCCCTAGAAACCTCCATTTAGTAAGCCAATCTTGACGAGGATATTTAGTTGAAGCAACATTATGATACCCTTGACCATGACGGGCTAGAAACAATACTTGATATAACTCATTATCGGTATTGGTATTAAGATCATTAATTTCTTCTATTATTTGTTTCCAGGGCTTCATAGCACCAAAATTTTCAGAAGTATGGTTAAACTTCATATCATCTGTTACGCTACTCGATTGACTGAAAAAGTCGGGAACGTACTCAAATCTCCAGGGATAAGTGGGCTCGCCATTATCGTCCTTCTCCTGATGCAATTGTTCCATCAATTCGTAGTAAATGTGGTCCTGTTCAGGTTCCAAATACGCATCTCGACGGTCTCTGACATTCGCAACCAAGAGACTCATATTGAATTGAGCCTATTTAAATAAAATCTGTCCAAATATAAGCTAAATTAATAACTGATACAATTGATTTCATTCGTAAGCTTTGTCCTAAAGAACATTCAACCATTAGTGTCGTCCCCCCCCCCCCCCCTCACGGCAGAAGCGATGAGACAAATTGCGAATCCTGACTATCGAGGTGTGTATTCGATACCCCTCTCTCAGTAGGAGGAATTGTTATTTTGCGTGTTAGGGGTTTGCAGGGTGCCTCGGAGTTACAGATTATTTGTTTTACATGTTAGACTTTGTCGATACTTTCATCTCGGTTACTGCATTATCTAGATAAATGTTGATATAAATACTAAACATTGTTTTCTCTGCACTTAAAGTCGCAATTCGATACGAAAAGATCTCTTTATGCTATTAAAGTCATTATGCCAGAAGGTGAAGTAAACGAAGTAGAGCTTGAAAGAAAAAGACTGCTAGAGTTGGAGCATAACTTGACAGGGAAGACGACTACAACAACGGAGCCGGCTGTCGAAGAAATAAAGAAGGAAGAGCCCGAGACAAAAAAAATTAAAATAGAAGAAGATGGAAAGTATGAAAGTTTTGGTAACTCGGAGAAACAAAAGACATCAACTATCGTAGTGGTTCCTCCTACTGCTCCCAAATTGTTTTACACTCCATTGAAAACAGGCTTAGTTTACGATGTCCGAATGCGATACCACGCCAAAATATTCACGTCTTATTTTGAATATATTGATCCTCATCCAGAGGATCCTAGGCGTATATATCGTATATATAAGAGACTAGCTGAAGCGGGTCTCATTCAAGATAGCTCCTTGTCAGGCTCTGATGAAATTGGACCCTTAATGGTAAAAATTCCAACTAGAGAAGCTACCGTTGAAGAGATTCTCGAAGTACATTCCGAAGAGCTTTTTAAGTTTATAGAATCCACTGAGACAATGAGTCGCGAGAAATTACTAGAAGAGACTGAAAAAGGCGATTCCATTTATGTTAATAATGATTCGTTTCTTTCGGCAAAACTTTCATGCGGTGGTGCAATCGAAGCTTGCAAAGCAGTTGTTGAAGGGCGGGTCAAAAATTCATTGGCTATAGTACGTCCGCCAGGACATCATGCGGAGCCTGATTCTCCTGGTGGCTTCTGTCTTTTCAGTAATGTTGCAGTTGCTGCCAAGAACATTTTAAAGAACTACCCAGAATCAGTGAGAAAGATTGTGGTGCTCGACTGGGATATTCATCATGGTAATGGAACTCAGAAGGCATTTTATAACGATCCGAGAGTATTATACATATCACTCCATCGTTACGAGAATGGTAAGTTTTATCCTGGTACCAAATATGGTAACTCAAACATGGTTGGCGAGGGCCAGGGTGAAGGTTTCTCTTTAAATATTCCTTGGAAGGTTCCAGGAATGCATGATGGTGATTATGTCTATGCATTTAACAGAGTTGTTATTCCTGTTATAAGCGAGTTCGACCCAGATTTAATTATTGTCAGCTCTGGTTTTGATGCTGCAGATGGTGATACCATTGGCTGTTGTCACGTAACACCTGTTGGTTATGGTTCTATGACCCATATGCTCAAAGGAATAGCAAAAGGAAAATTGTCTGTCGTATTAGAAGGAGGCTATAATCTTGAGTCGATCAGTAGAAGCGCGTTGGGCGTTGCTAAGGTACTAGTTGGTGAGCCTCCAGAGGATACTGTATCACAATTGCCTCATCCAGAAGCTGTGGAGGTTATAGATGAAGTAATAAAAATACAATCTAAGTATTGGAAATCATTGAAACCAGGAATACCTGATCATATTTTTGATGACGTATATGATTTACCAAATGAAAAGAAGAACTTTACGCTAGCAAATATTGCCGATCCTATAAGATCTTATCAAGCTAATGACTTATTTAACCGTTATGGATTTATCAACTTACCGATAGTCTCAGGAAATAATGAAAATGAAAAGTCTAGTCATTTTACTATCGATTTACCTGCACGCTTAGAAGATCTAGTCCTTGCAAGCCCTAATGTTAATAACAGTTCTACCATAATAATCTACGTACATGACTCTCCTGAAATTTGGGCAAATATAAATCCCGTTAGTGGAACCATTGAAGCAAGCTCCTCTGTGGTATTAGAACATCCCTTAGTTCAGATTATTGAAAAAATCAAGAAGGAAATAAATAAAGAGAAAAGTGACAGCTGCCCTGAAGCCGATGAGGTTGGTCACATAGATATTTATGTTCCTTCTAGTCAATTCCCTATTCCTAGTTACACATCTTCAAACCTGTCAACAACCTATTCACAAGTTATATTTGGTCAAGAGCTATTGTTATATATTTGGGACAATTATATCTCATACTTCTCTCAGGTTAAAAAAATAGTATTTGTCGGGTTTGGAGATGCTTATCAGTCTATTATTCATCTTTTTGCAAAGAGACCATCTCAGAATATTAAAGATATTGTAAAAGGAACCATTGTTTTTCTTGACAGATCAAATTTAAAATCTTTAGTGCCAGTGATGGACGAGTCTATGATAGATTGGTATTATCAAAATTCAGTTATTTTCACTAGTTTCTTGAACCCATGCTGGGTCGGTACCGGGGGGTCTTCTTCTCTGTCTGCGAGAAATGGACAAGGCAATAATGAGCTCAATGGCTCTGATGATTCTAACAAAAGGCCGAGAAGAAAATTTGGTCGTGTGTTGAAGTCATCTGCTGATGGCTTATGGGATGTGATTAATGAAAGATTTGATGAAGGTGTCGACTTCATATTAGATTCAATTGAGGATTACAGCACCAGCGAAAGTAGTAACTAGCATTATATATTGCTGGATATAAAGTTGTATTATATATGTGTATATACTTGTAATTCTAGCTCAGATTTTGATTTATGGATTGCAATGGCCAAAACAAAAAAGTAGAAAAGAAGAATTCATGCTAAACAAAACTTGGAAATCTTCTTGAAAAATGCCTCTCTAAGTCATCAACATCCGGAAGGGAAGTGTCACTGGCATCGCTCGGCTTCCTATCATGCTTTTGATAGGAGTCCACTGATTTCAAATAAATTGGCTTCTTAGGCTTCGGAGGTGCTTTCTTAAGTAGCTCTTTTGGTGCTTTTCTTGAAATTTTATTTTCAGACATAGTAGATGAAGGGGTAGTAATAGAGCTCTTAGCTGTAGAACTGAACTGATGTTGTGATAGACTACGGGGAACCTTGGGAGGAGTTAATGCACGAACCTTTCTTGTAGGCTTAGTTAAGTCAGTGCTTGAAGATGACTTTTCTTTAGCCAGTGTTGAGATGCTTTCATTATTGATGGCTGCTATGTCTTCAACTGCTGCTGTATCTGTATATTTGCCATATCCATCAGCAGTCTTTTTAATGGAGCTGTCCTTTGAATTATCAAAAAGTAGCTGCATCCGCCGTTGGATGGACAATTTCCGGATCTGAGGTTCTTCATGTACTTGTGTTACTTCATCGCTGAAAGATTCCGGACTGCTGCTTGTTTTTCGTTTACTGAAAACATTTCTGATGGATGACACACTTGATCTCTTGTTCTTAGTAGATGTTTCAGCGCCAGTTTGATTATAACCCAAACTTTGGGTACTACTGCCACCAGTGCTGATTTTCCGTAACGAGCTTTTTATTGTATTCTTAAGACTTCCACCGGTGCTCTGCCTCAGTCCTAAGTGGTTTTCTTCTTCCTTAGTTCGTAAGAAATCTAATGTGCCTGAATCATACTCATTAGAAGTTGCCATATATTCGTTGCTTCTCAATTGGCTATTGACAAAATCTTTCAACGAATGTGTAGAATTGTTTGGGGAAAACGATCTATAATGATCATCTTTGTTAATGTAAGTGCTCATGGGTCGCGATGGATATACATTGTTTAAATGAGAGCTTGAAGGGATATATGTTGATTTTGGCCTAGAATGCACATCGCCTTCACGTCTTGCGACATCAGGGGTAGAAACTGATTGCAAAAACTTCGTTTTATCAATAGATGCAAACGGATCTTTCGTCTTTGGGGTCACTTCTTGGAGACTATTAGTATCTTTTACTGGAGGCTCGGTGACACTCTTGTGGAGAGATAATGAGCTATCATTGGCAATTGAAGTATTGCTTTTAGTCCCAGATTTTAAGTTCTTTACCTGAAGCTCCCTAACGCTCAAAGGTATTATATTGGGAACCGACTTCCTGCCCTGCATTGAACAGATTTCACCCAAGAGCTGAGCAGCATTCGGCCTCCGCCTTGGATCTTCTCTCAAACAACATTTAATCACATTTTTCAATCTTGGAGAAAAAATCAGTCCTGGTTGATCTCTGAATCTTAAAGTGTGAGAGCAATTTAATATTGTCTGTTCTAAATCTTGCATCGACTTCTGATTGGGCAGTTCGAAAGGAGTAGTATAGTAACATAATTTGTACAAAAAACACCCCAAAGCCCATATATCCAGCTTGTCATCAATTGGAAACCCTTTCGACAAATCTATCATCTCAGGAGCCCTGTACTGAGGTGTAGTATGATGCATGATATCGTCGTGGAGAGTTTGCAATTCTTGTGCTGATTTAGGAGCTGGTTGGTAGCCTACCGCGGAGCCAAAATCACAAAGCTTGTACTTTCCACCGGAGTCTATCAATACATTCTCTATTTTGATATCTCTATGAATCAAAGGAGGTTTCAAATGGTGGCACATGGCCACTCCAATAGTAACATCATGCATTATCTCCAATATTTCAGGCTCAGTCAATTTATGAGTCAATCGAGTATTCATAAAATCTATTAGTCCATTCTTCTCACAGTATTCCATTAACAAAAATACTTCATACTGTTGTTGGTCCGAGCTTGACAGATTCAGCGTTGGGGTTTTCATTCTCGAAGCATGAGAGTCAATATATGAAACAATATATTCATTTCCTCTCAATCGCCTCATAGCATCGACCTCTTGTCTCAATAATGATAACTGCCATTTATTTGGCACAACTACCCGCTTCAAACATGCTATCTTAGATCCTCGAAAAGGTGGCTCGATTGTACAAGTGTATACAAGAGCGAAACCACCCTCTGAGATATATTTAGTAATACTTATTTTATGGCTTCCCACGGTCAATTTCGTACCTGGTGAGTAAGCATTGGGAGGAGGACTTGGCATTTTCGTCTCCTTTCAAATCTAATCGAAAATGCTAATATGCTTCAACCCCTTCAGCGAGAGGATGTTTTACTTTTAATGTTGACCGACTGTGACGATCAAAATTATATAGTTAAATCTATTGTACAGGCCAAACGTCATTTAATCAGAATTTTTCAATTAAACGATTTTTCTTCACTTTTTGGAAAGGGGCCAAGATAAGAGGATAAAAGAAGAAGCTTAAGGGGGGATTTGAAAGCATATACATTGTTATGAAGTTCTACTTTGAAGCAGAAAAATTTTTGGGACCATACAAGGGAGAGAATGGAGGAAGTTTACAATCGAGAATTTTCAATGACAAGAAATTGACCAGCTCTCCTAAGCATATATTTGCTGTGGTACACTCAACTCTCAAGTACAAGGAATACATAGAGTATGTCATTCGAAAGTCGAAAATCAAGCAATCAATAAAGGTGAGCAATAACTTACTTTTGTTATTGGTGCATGACTTACTTTTCTCGCCAAGAGGCAGAATTGAACTGGGCAAGCATCCTATAAAGGATTCCTTTTTAAAGCACAAGACCAGGCTAAATGCCGAATTTACTAAGCTTAAACTAAAGTATAAGGCAAAGAATACCGAAGACTTACCTACTAAAGAATCTGATGAAGACGAAACCCCTGTGAGATGGTTTCGTGTTAACACACTTAAAATGCCCCCAGAAGACTTTTTAAAAAGCCCTCTTTATCTCAGCTTGAAACCGATAGAGAGAATAAGTGAACTTAAAAGTACTGGTTACATTTATAAAGATCAGCATATTCCAAACCTTTTCGGAGTTCATCTGAAGGAGAAGATAACAGCTAGTCAAGAATATATAAAGGGCCAAATCATAATTCAAGATCGAGGCTCCTGTTTTCCTGCTCACATATTGAATAGCGACCCTAATTATGTTCATTCCGTAGTGATAGACGCATGTGCGGCGCCAGGAAATAAGACCACCCACGTTGCTTCTTACTTACCGTTGAAGGATGATTCTGTTGTGTATGCATTTGAAAGAGATGCGAGGCGGTTTGATGTTCTAAAAAGCATGTCTTTAAAAGCTACTGGTAAGAGCAAAAAATCTTTGATTCAGGCAATCCACTCAGACTTCACCACTAGTCGGCCATCAGACTTTGCGGCTGTTACTGGGCTCATCGTCGATCCCTCTTGCAGTGGATCAGGAATTTTTGGCCGTGCGCTTGAAGATGCACAACAGGAGGAAGCAAAGCATGAGTTGGATACAGAAAGGCTAAATAGATTAGCTCGATTCCAGTTTAAGATAATGAAGCACGCGTTACTGTTTCCTTCAGCTAGAAGAGTAGTCTATTCCACTTGTTCGGTACATCTTCATGAGAACGAGAGAGTTGTAGTGGATTTGTTAATGGACCCGGATGTGAAAAGTCAGGGCTGGAGTCTCGGAGATAGGTCTTCAGTATTGCCTTTATGGCCCCGTAGAGGGTGGCCAGAAGAGTTCACTGCAGTCAATGATAATCGAGGCCCGGAGGAATTAGCAGGTGGGTGTGTACGAGCAATGCCCAAAGAGGATGGGGGAATTGGATTCTTTGCAGCTTGCTTCATCAGAGATCATGTAGATGAAGGTCTCAAAAGCCGTGAAGAATCTTCTGAGTCTGCGTACAATGAATCTGAAGAATGGACAGGTTTTGAGTAGATCTATTTGCTTGGGAATGGACTTAAATAAAGTAGATTGAATTCTTCATCCTGATAAGAAATCTTCGCTATAATCAGTTGGCATATAGAGCATTTTAGCATATTTAGCATTTAGTCTTTTTTGAATATCGAGATTACATAATTAATAGCACAAAGCACTTATACTGACTTTTGAAAATTTTCGAAGAGGTGAATCATCAATTGCTGGCTTTTACTAACCAAAAGTTATATAGATATCATGCAAAGATCTATTTTTTCATCACTTACAAGAGCACTGGTAAACAGAAGCGGATTGAAGACCGTTTCAATGTTGAGGCCTGTTCCAAGACCTGTTGCCACAGGTCCACGTATCTCGCCATTCCGTTTTGCCTCTACTAAGTCTACGAGTGATGGTGCTAAATCAGAGAATGAAGAGAATAGCAAGAAGGATGATGGCAACATAGGAAGTAAGGAAAATAAGCAAGAAGCTGCTAATGAAGCACAAGCTAATGCTAAACCCGAATTAACCGAACCGACACCAAATGTCGAAATTGGAGAATTGAAAACTAAGTTGGAGCAGAAAGACAAAGATTTGGCAGATATGAAGAATCACTATGCTAGATCTATAGCTGATTTCCGCAATTTACAGGATTCAACCAAAAAGGAGATACAAAAAGCAAAAGATTTTGCATTGCAAAAGTTTGCTAAAGATTTACTCGAGTCTCTCGATAATTTCAGTTTGGCATTGAATGCTGTCAAAGAAGAGACATTGAAATCGAATCCAGAGGTAAAGAACCTTTACGATGGTGTTGAAATGACGAGATCTGTTTTCGAGAAGACTTTAAACAAGCACGGTATAGAGAAGGTTGATCCAATGGGCGAACAGTTTGATCCAAATAAGCATGAGGCTACCTTCGAGATCCCTCAACCAGATAAGGAGCCCGGTTCAGTCTTCCATGTCGAACAGCCAGGATATACTTTGAATTCTAGAGTTTTAAGACCTGCTAAAGTTGGTCTTGTCAAAGGTACAGATAATTAGGGGCAATGACCATTTAATGAAACAGGAATGACATATCTGAGTTGCAAGATGATAGTTTTGTACTCTAAGTGCATTTATTAATAGCTATAGCGAATCTTTTCGCTATGATTTTTGTAATAATACTTGCTTTAAATCGTGTATATATTTTCGCCAAAGTAAGCTTCTAGTTACTCCGGTCACTTTGTAGTCTCGTATGTCTGTTTTGGTGACCAAATTGACGTCGTTAAACTGAGACAGTAAACTCGAATTAATGATTATATTTCTATGAAATGCCGGACCGGTTACGGTCAAGTATGAAAAATTTGGACACTTTCAATATTGCACAACTAAATATCCCATCAACAAAAGTATCAGATACACATACAATGTTAGCTACAAAGGTTGGAGTCTGTCGTCAATTTTCAACTAGAACTGTCTCTTTAAAGCAATTAAAAATAGGTTTAATCCCTGGAGATGGTATTGGACGTGAAGTAATTCCAGCAGGTAGGGCCGTTTTAGAAAGCTTGCCTGCCAAATACGATTTGAAATTCGACTTCATTGACTTGGATGCTGGATTTGAATTATTCCAAACCACAGGAACTGCGCTTCCTGATGAGACCGTCAGAGTTCTTAAGGAGGAATGTGATGGTGCGCTATTTGGAGCCGTTTCTTCTCCAACTGTTAAAGTCGAAGGATACTCTTCTCCTATCGTTGCCTTGAGAAAGAAATTAGGTTTATATGCTAATGTACGTCCTGTGAAGTATATTGAAGGCAAAGACAGACCAGTTGATATGGTTATTGTGCGTGAAAATACTGAAGATTTGTACGTCAAAGAAGAAAAAACTTACAAGAAGGAGGATGGTACCAGAGTAGCTGAAGCAATCAAGAGAATAACAGAAACTGCCACTTCTAGAATTGCAAAAATGGCATTTGACATTGCTTTGCAAAGACAAGGAATCAGAGAAGCCTCTTCTTTGAAGTTTATACACGATAAGCCTTCCGTTACTGTGACCCATAAGTCAAATGTCTTGTCACAATCTGATGGATTGTTTCGTGAAGTGTGTCGCCAAGTTTACGATTCCAATCCAGAAAAATACGGCGGTATCGCTTATAAGGAGCAAATTGTTGACTCCATGGTTTATCGTATGTTCAGGGAGCCTGAAATTTTCGATGTTGTAGTGGCTCCAAACTTATACGGTGATATCTTGAGTGATGGAGCTGCAGCATTAGTGGGTTCTTTAGGTGTAATTCCTTCCGCCAACGTCGGTGAAAGTTTCGCTATAGGTGAACCCTGCCATGGTTCTGCTCCGGATATTGCAGGAAAGGGTATTTCTAATCCAATTGCTACCATCAGAT